TTTATACCACCCGGGATGCCGTCTCCTAGTTAGCCACTACGTCATCAGCGCCGATTGTGTACGAGAGCGGCCGGCCGGTTCTACAAAATGCTACTGACTAGTCACTAATTTGACAGCAACAGTGGTTTTGCCAGTTGACGTGTTGACTTGTTTATAATAATGGAGCAGGGATTTGTTTGTGTCAGTCAGACAATTTGTCCCAAATTAATTCCCTGGCAACGGCTAGTTACTTAATGACTATATTTTGGAGGATTTCAACACGACGTCTTTTCGCTGCAGCACCTCTTTCAGGTTTGATAGACTCGGAACTTGACTACTGATACTAAAAAATATGAGGTAAAACACCCTTTCAGAGCCGTACGTTTCCGCCCATATAGTTTTCCATATCATTTTCAAGCTGGAACACAAAAAAATACAGAATACTATTATGTTCCCATCCATCTTCCTTTATTTTGTAAATTTTTTTGCAGGACCCTGTACATCAATATTAATAAAAATCTATATTTCCTTATTTATACACTAAGAAGTCCATATGATTGGGCACCTCTTAAGAGATGAGCCATTTATTACTGTCATATTATTGGGGAATTCCAGTTCCAAAGGCCATAAATTAATAATGCCTTTTTATGACGGTAGGTCGCATTTCTATACTATGTACCTACATATTTCTATATTATTAAAAAATACCGAGAATCCATCTAGCTTATAATGGCTTTTACAATGACTATGGTTTATATTAATAATTACATAAAAAAGAGTACCTATCCCATTGTTCCGGTTTCTGCGTTTTAAAATAATTTAAAAAACTAACTATTCAAATGAATTTTTGTAGACCTTTATTTACAAGACATTTGAATTTAACAGCAACATACCCTGTAAATAATCCCGTGTACCAGTACGACTAAAAATACTACTGTTGTAATAAGTACCTGGAAATGAACTACACAACAAATCCGATTATATGTACTCGAAAGAGATTTGTTTATTTTATTTGATAATAATTCATTCACTATAAATGCTAGAAAAACCACCTAAATTGCTAAATTTAAGTTAGAAACGTACAAAAAAAAATGGTCCAAATGTTGTTTACTGCTCATTGTTTAATGATAAATAAAAATCTGCCGGAGTACGGTGGCAATCTTAGTCATCTCTAAGTAAGTAAGTAAAAAGGTATTTTCTTTGAAACGAATAAATGTATAACTGCGACAATCCCATTTATCACTCTACAATTTCATAATTATACATTCATTTGTTTCAAAGAAACTACCTTGTTGCCAGACTTTTTCGCTACCTTATATACGAGCCTTATCTCAGTGAACTTGGCCCAATCATTCAAAATATTGTGAGTTTATATCAAATAGCATGGTATTTCTGAAAATAATTTTGATCTAATAATCTTGAAAAAACGGAAACAAATCAAAAAAAATGCCCCTACGAATTATTAAGACAATCTCCGAACCCCAAAGGTGAAAACAAATACTTGGAGATTTGAAAAAAGCCTGTCGCCACCGGGATATCGAACCCAGACATATGCCGTTACCGCTAGACCATGACGACATTGACTGTCGAGATTCCTAGATAGCAATTTGATGTACTAGTTCGGCACATACGCCGTTTCAGGCTCGTTCTCAAATCTTCAAATACCTCTATACAGCATCGGTATAGATAAGAAATGCATTGATTCATACTAAGCCCATATCTTCGTCTGCGTGAGTTAAGTTTTCAATGTAAGTTAAGCACCGTAAATTTGAGTACGAAAATTGTGAATATAATATATCGTAGATCGCAAATCGAAATCCGAAAGGTCAGAATTATCTAAAATAAGTTGTAAAATAATTTAGAATATTCGGAAACAAATTTCCCCAAACCCCAAAGGCAGTTATAGTTATTTTTGGATAGAAATATTCAATTTTTAATACATATTTTGTAATTTTGACAAATAAAGTGATATCTTTTGTAATCATAGCAAGTTTCAAAACGATCTACTTTATGCAACCAGTTATACGAGTATAAAGATTATGACAATAGTTACGAAAAATTCATTAGTTAGATCATCAGTTGCAAAAAGAAAACAAAAATAGACCTTTTCTGGTTTTAAAACCACTTTAGAATTTTGGATTTTTAATTCTTGGAGAATTTTCCGCTTTTTGTCGTAAATTTGTTACGGAAAAACAACATTTGTCGCTCATTTCCTTTTCCAAATAACCCCTGGTAGTGCTAACTTCACGGTAAAGTTAGCACTACCAATCACGTAAATGAGCATAAATGACATAATTTTTTTAAATTAATAATTAGTTGCTTTTTGTCGTGGAAAACATTTTTGTCACTCCCCCTTTGTGAAATAAAGCTCAGTTAATGCTAATTTTGATGGAAAGCTAGCACTATCAATCACTAAAATAAGCATAAATTAAATTTTTTCATATATGGATAATTTGTAGCTTTTTGTCGTAAATTTGTGGTGGAAAAAAAATTATCGCTCCTCCCCTTTTTGAAACAAACCCCCATTTATTAGTAATTTTAATAGAAATTTGGTATATGAATATTTTGTAACTTTTTCTGTCGTAAATTTGTCTTGGAAAAATATTAAATATTGGTAGTTCATCCCCTTTTTGAAATATACCTCAGTGAATGCTAAAATAACCTCTAGTAGTGTTCTAGAATAAGCACGGAATAACTTTTTACGACTATGATGTTTGCAGTCAATGCTACAAACAAGTAGAAATGGGAGATTTCAACACCATACTCTTTCTAAGGCTATATTATGTATCTACAAATAAATAGTATTAGATTGGATGCAGTTGCCAGTTAGTATTTGCTTTCCGTAAAGTCAGTTCAACTAAGTTATACATTTGAATTTTTAAATATTGGATAATTTGTTGCTTTTTGTCATAGTATTGTGTAAAAAAAAGAAATTTGTACCTTATCCCTTTTCTAAAATATTCCATGCATTTTTTGATCATCGATTTAAGGGAGAAAAGGGACAGGATTAATTTTTTTAATGACCAAAACCAATAGCTCCTATTTTTTAGATCTAACCAACGTAAAAATTTGTATTTAGAGACTTTTTAGAAGTAAAGAAAATGTTCTATACATAAACATCTGAGTATTGAGAACATAAATAAATCTACATTTATTTTGACTTTTTTACTACAAATGGAGTATCAACATTTATCAGTACGCATCACTGACTCAATAAATATCAATGTTGACTAGTACCTACCTATTAATTTTCTTCAAAATATTTTTTTTATTAAAATTAACAGAATCATGTGGTTTTTAATTTTGGTTTATTTCTATGTATATAAAGAAGCAATTTCCTTTATTCTACAAAATACCTCTATATTATTTCAATGTTTATATTATTTCTACTAGTTCAGTAACCAAAGAAACGAACATTAGTTTTGGAGTCAATTAGATTAAACAAATTACATTACAACTTAATAAAATTTAATGAATAAATTGTTATCTGTGATATGAAATAATTGGTGGATAACAAAGTATGGAAGCATGTACCACAAGAGTTACATTAGACAACAAAACTGAAAGATAAAAGTAATACATCTATGTTGTTCCCAAAGCAGCTAAAACATTTCTCAATCATCCAACTCTTTTAATAATTTAACATCTAAAACTTTCTCATAGCTCTTCTCAAAAATGACTCTTAATTAAAACAATCGATTCTTTTTTCTCAGGTAAAATATCTTCTGTACCCAGAAGCTCTCGACTTCTGATTCCCGACATTCCCATATTACAACAATCAATCACTTTTGAACAGTTGCATCGAAATGACTATGCAAACCGAATTGATAAAGTTTCAATGCACATTCGCATGTGAAACAAAAGAACCCGGTCGTTTTCAACTCACGTTTGCGACTAGAGTCAAAATCGAGAGGACCGACCACTCATTTAGGAGTGCCCTTCATTATGTTCATAAATACAAAAGGGCCTCTCGAAACTGAAAGTTTTTAAACGTGTAGAGTGGCAAAGTCGAGGGGATTTATCCACGAAATAACAGTTGAGTGTATGTTACAAGTGCGTGCGAAACAGTGTCTGGTTCTTATGTGTAGCTGGGAAGATATTTTTCTCATTTAATCGATTTAGATTCTATTGCATACACAAATTTAATCTATTTACTTCGATTAATTTTTTATTATTATTTTAAAATAATGTAATAATTATGATTCTTATTTGTTACAGGTATGTTAATTGTAACCATTTCTGAAGTTAAATAAGTAGGTAAGTCTAAATGAATTTATGGCCTCATTTGTTTTGGCCTTAATTTGATGAAAATCCATATTACTTAAATGAGAAAAACCGAACCAAACAAAACAAAATTTTACAAAATAATTAAATGTCATTAAACAAATTAAACAATAATTTTCATTCAAAGTTAATAGAAAAAACTTTTTAAACATGCTGTTCAACAAGTTTATACCATAATTAAAGATGACAATTGTTGCTATAAGACTCTTACATGTATAGGAACTCCCAGTGAAAAGCTATCATCATACTCAAAAAACCAAAACATTAAAGTAGCTTTCAATATAGGGTTTCTCATTTCGCGATTTATTTTTTTCTAGACCCCCGATAATTCTCGACAAGAAAATTTCGAGAATTTTCGAGTTGTCGAGAAATTTTAAAAATTTTTAAAATAGTTATAGAGTAGTCAATAGCTGACAATTTTATGACTTAAAAAAACAAAATCATATTAGATTATGTTAGAAATTTTAATCTCAGAACAAAAAATTAACAAGGTAGACCTTTTAATCTACAAATAAAAAGTAAAATATTTTTTCTTTCATTAAGCTAACATGAAACAAATATATAAATGTAATACAACCAACTAAAGACTAGAACTGAATACAGTTTTCATCGCATAAGAGAACAAAAATAAACATTTCAATAATAATCACCAAAGGACCAATCAGTCTTTTAATTAATCTAAGTACACAAAAAATCTTAGTTTCCTCTGAGGTCTTGGATAGCTAAATAAATCTGGCTTATTTTTGGTTTCCAGTAAAGTATGTGAGAGCGTTAACAGCATTATCTGATAAACGGTTTCTTATTATTGTAACCAAGTTTCCAGATAATGAGGAAACCCTTTTATTTTCCGTAGATGATGGCTTTACAAGGCTTGATATACATTTTAAAGATTTGGTGTTCTTTTGCCTGTTGATAGAAAAAGCTGAAGATCTTTTTTTTATCAAGCTTTTGGTGATATGAACTTCGGCATTACTTAATGTAGCTGTTGCTGTTGCCTCAATAGCTCGTTTCAGTTCAAATTCAAAACTTGTATCATTATCTTGTGTTTGGACTTGGATTTCATCTTCGTTTTCGACTGAATTTTTGCTGGGAAATAATCTATTATATAGATTTTCCATAAATTTGATTGAAGACGTTATCGTTATCATTCCGAAATGCCACTGGATTGTGAAGATACTTGGCAAAAGAAATCAGGTTAAGATTGCACCTGTCATTAATCTTATTCTTAATGTTCCAAAAGCTAAATCGTTTTCCATCGATTCCAGTTTATTAGTCAACACATCTATTATTGCTTCTGATGTTAGGATCATAGCATATTTTCTTGATAAAGCCTCAAAAGACAACCGTATTGGATGCAAGATCTTTAACAATTTTTCCAGAACGTCGAAATTATCATCATTCCACATTGAGGACATATTCAAATCAATCAATTATTTTTTGATCAACTCTTCTTTTGTATATTTTGCAGTGTGATATTTTTGAAAGGATTCTTTTGAAATAGTAAAACTTCATCAATATTTGGAGTGTATAGTTGAACATTTCTTGTTAAATCGTAGTCCTCAATAGAAAGGTCATCATCATCATTACTTTCCTCTCTGAAAATGTTCATTTCTGAAGCTTGAATCGTTGGTATATTAGTTTCGACAGCGTCATCTTGGCTGGTTTCATTTTTATCACAAAAAGTAGCCAAAACAGACAAATGTATAGTGTGATTTAGGCATAAGACCATCTCAGTCGGGCTTTCGCGTCCGAATTTAACCATTATTTTGGGGCCATTACTGGTCACAACTACGATATCTTGCTTAAAACACAAACCAAATTTTTCTAAGCGTTTTTCTAGAATTTTCTTCGTTTCTGTTGACCTGGGATATAAACAAGCCCCAAATTCTAGACAGCGGCTTCTGTGCGGTAGAGACAAATGTTAAAGTACCTCAGATTTCTTAAACTTGTCTATTCGTCAATACTAAGGCTGAAGCGGACCGACTTATTTTGCTGTAGTTGACTTAAAAATGTTATCATTTGTTTCTTTTTTTCTTCATAACATTCAAGTATTAGCTTCATTACGCCGGTCTGATTCTTTGGCAATTGATTGACGTATAAATTCAATTCTGATTATTTAACGAATTGTGAGAACAGGTTTAATTTACAAAAAAAAATGCAACACCCTGTATATTATTGTAGCATAAAATTCCCTATAAATATACCTCTCTAACGATACCAACAAATAACGCAGCGGGAAATTTAAATAGGGAGTTTTAGCAAACAGCCGCTAACCATCCGCTAACGTTACCTTAGGGATAGACTGTAATCTACTCTGTTCAATGTTTATGAAAAAGGTCACAATCTAAGTTTAACGTAACGTTAGCGGAAATCTTACGTACATTTGCTAAAACTCTCTAGTACCTGATAATAAAGGTTGCATCTATAAATATCGATTGCACTCTCATGTTGTGGTAAATATATTTAAAAAATTAGCCAATAACACACATACAGGGTGTCACATCAGAGCGTAGTTGATCGATAGTTGTTTTATTATTGAAAATACGAAAAAAAAAAGAATTATGACCAATAAATATTCTTAGATATACAGGGAGGTCCATAAACGAGGGGCTAACCAAACTTATATATTTTTAAAGCAAAACACCCTGCAGCTAGTTATACATATTTGATCGTCAAACAATTTTGATAGACTTCATTTATTTGCTATGTTGTATATAGGATAACCTCGCGTTTTGAAATATGTATAAGGACAAGAACTCTAATGTTAAAACTTTTGCAGGCTTGCAATAAGCCTTATTTTAACATGGAATTTATTTGGCTCTAATTACGTTGTCACTATTTGTGGCTGACGTTATAGAAATTTGCAATATCTCTCTATTTTCATTTAAATGAATTTATGGTGTTATTATTATTCTGAAATATAAATATTATTTGCCGAAGAAAGGATGAGCTAAAAGATAGAAACGATTCTTTTGAGTTCACTGAAAAACGGTGTTAAACTTTTAAATAATCCTCATAAAGATATTATAAGAATATGATAGACCTTTATACAGGAGAGGTTATCCAGAAAAGGTACTGCCCTAGTAATTAAATTTGCACCTTTGCTCTCACACACATTCCTTGTACTATTTTTAATATGCATAAATATAATCTTACTTTAAGTATTAGATGATATACTGATGACACAGCACTATTGCTTTTTGGGACAAACTAAGATGCCTTAAAAATTGCGGCTGAAAGTGATAAAATTAAAATATGTAAAGTTAAAAATGTATGGCTTTCACTCCTACAATTACTACACAACCACTATCTAATTTTCAAATCAAAATGTACTGAAGTAAACCCTTGCTTATGTTCAAAAATTGAAAAAAATATTTTCCCTATAATTAACAAATTTCCTATTATAAATAGTTTTCATAGGTTTAGACATAATTGTGGAGATACTAAAATACTTTGACTGATTACTACAAAAGTTTGGTTCTCCTTGTGGTCTGCTGTTGACAATATTGACAATATTGATTCTGCATGCATATAAATCCTTCTTTTTATTGGAAATTAGTTTGAAAAGTAGTTAAGCTCTGTTGTAAAGGTATTTGCAAGCCTTCCTTCATAAGATGTAGCAAACAAATACATGCTAATACGTATAGAAAAAAAAATCACAAGATACTACTTAAAATTCCTATTCAAATTAAATAAAAACATCATAAAGTTAATAATACCTATACCTACCAATAATTTGAAAAGATTTGCAGAAATATTGGTAATAATATTAAACTTTAAGATAAATAAACTTAGGGGGCTGGAGCCCTAAGAAGTTAGCCACAATTTGTTCTGCATCGACATCCAAGAAAATTGTATCTTCATATTACAATTTCAAATAATTCAAAACAAAATAGCACAAAATTGAAAGTATTCTATCTACATATGAGATTATAAATAATGGATAAAATTTATAATTTTATCCTAACAAATCTGCGCATTTTATGTCAAAGACAATGAAAATGTCATTTCAAAAAAGACGTTATTATTTCATTCTTAAATCTTAAATTGGCAAGACTGGGTGCTACTATTTCGGAAAAGATGGAAGGTTATGTCACGACTCCCTTAGATATACCAGCCCTGCCGAAAGTAAAAATATAAATGTGCTTGATTTTTAAATGAAATGAATAAACTCATTCTATATTAAAAAATCTAAGCGAATAAACTTGTGAAAGTCGAATAAAAAACGATTCCAGAATTGACCTCGGCTCCGAAAATGCTGTACAAATCATTGTGCCCAGCAAGAGTGGAGAGAGTGGAACAGTAATTTCCATGAATTCAGAGTGGAAGATTAAATTTTGGTCCATTTATAGGCGTTTATGCGGATATACATTGGTTTTGACATGTGCACCTTTCAGCTGGTATCGCAGGGAGACCACAATGAGAGCAAACTCGCCCGAGTACGCGTTTGTCTGTGCCGCTACCCTAATCGCTTATGACGTTTATAGTGGACACGGTTATTTTATTCTTATTACGGTTTTCCGATTCAACGAGAGATCGAAACGAATGGGGGAATTTTCAATAGGGCGAGGTACAAAATTGCATTTTTCTCGAGTATTTTTTTTTTCTATTAAAATAAATTTGAGTACTTTTTCAATATGAGCAAAATTTTCCCGTGTGTATGTACAGGTTTGTAGAACCAAAACTAATATCTATTTAAATCTGTTTCCATAGCGAGATGTATGAGAAAAGGCAACAATTTTAAAATAATTTTTAATTTAATTTTATTATATACCTTCCATATAATATTTACTACCAATACCTCTATATGAGGAGGAATTGTCTCAGAAATGGTTAGAAAAATGTCTGATGAAATCTATAATGATTGATGCATCTTTAGAAGAAATTGTTACTTTTAAAAATCCACCCCTTATTACCTACTTGCCTACTTTTTCAATTCTTCGTTTTTGCTTAGCATTTTTGGATTATATGCGAGTCTACAAATCTAGCTACACACTTTATAAAAAAAAAATGTCACGAAATAATAAAAAATATCATCATAATTTTTGTATTTTTAAATATCAAACTAATTAAAATGCTTAAAATTACGTTTAGTGACAAGCATAGTTGTGAGTAAAACCTCTGTTGTACAAAAGGTATGATTAATTTCCATTATTGATAACAAGGAGACGGAAGAGTGATGTAGATGTCATACAGGTGTATTGTCATTCTAAGTAAATTGCACCTTACAGGGCGGAGCTCATTTCAAATTAAAAGTGGAGGAAGGACCGGTCTTTTTATTTAAACATTTTTAAGCTCATCAATTAAATATTTATAATTTAAACAACATAAATTTATTATAAATAGGAAAAACAATTTCCCGATTTTTCAAAAAAGGTAAAGGGAATTTAAACATTACATTTTATATATTTATTCAAAAAAGTAACTTGCCTTTGACTGAAAATAAAAATCTCAATTTCTTAGAGTACGGATATGTTTTTGTATGGCTCACTGGCTTTATTACATCATTGTGGACTGTACTAAAAGAATTAAAAAAAAAGGATGAACCAAGACGTGGACTTTATTTCGCTTATTATGTGCCAACATCGCTATAATATAAACTGTAATACCAAAAAGAAACATTGTATTGAAGATTTAATAGTAGGTACGCTGTTATTATAGTAAATTTTACAAAAACAATTAAATTGGAAAAAATTGACTAATTTGGAAAACATTAGAGTGGTCAATATAAATCTACAGGTTTTATACATTCTTGAGTTGAACAAGGAAAAGTAAACATGCCATTTTTGTTTTCTTTTGCAGAAATAAATCAACGTACCTACAACGTACCTACATACCATACCATTAAATCTTTGACACGATGTGTCATTTTGATAGAGAGTTGAAGTGATGCTATGAACGAAAACGTGAAAATTGACATCTACGCATGCGTATTTAAATATCTTTCACGTTCACGTCTACGTACAAACGTAAGCTTGCGGACTCTGGCGTATGTACGCAACGCAAACAAAATAACCTCTTTTTAATTGGGAAAGAAGAAATCCTAATATTAATTGTCATTATCTGTCATGGCACGTAAATGTCACGATGCGTTTAACAACTTCAACTCAGATTTTGGACTTCAACGTAAACATTCTATTTCTGCGTTGACGTTCACGTTTACGTTAACGTACTCGAAATACTTCAACTCTCTGTAGCCGGAGAGGCTAGCTGCGAGCTTAGTGTGCATCTACATACTCGCAACAGTTAAGTAGTGATTCTCCGGTCACGTCGTGGATGAGTGACCGCTGGGAGGTTCCACCTTGGGCCGTGTCACTATGGGACTCATTCGACTAGCGGTTAACCACCGACGACGTGGAATGAATGACGATGAATCAGTTAGTGAATTGTTGAATGAGAAAGTAGTAGGACCTTCAGATGGTGGTACAATAAGCCGCAGGCTGCAGTGCCGCCAAGCTATAGACGGATTAGAGTGTAGCACGGAAGATCCGAAGGGTGTAAAAAAAATATATAAAACCTTATGGAAGATAATTGAATTCATTTGGGACTTTCCCAAGCAAAATAATAAACATATTAGCAGATATGGTAATAAAGAACAAGATTGTTTAAATAGGTGGTCTAAAGCTCTTCTAACCATTATTTCCCAAATATGGAAAAATTCTATTGAAAACACAGAAAAATAAATAATATTAAAGAATCTACTAAGCAAAACATTTTTAAAACTGGTAGGATAGAGAATCATGATATTTAAGTGATGAGTCT